GCAGTGTCACTGGCCCTCTATGTGGGATCCGAACCGGGGCCCTCTGGCGTCCCAAGCCAGTTCTTAACCATCGCGCCACTCGGCCGGCCCAAGAAAAATAAAATTTTTAATGTGTAATTTGGAAATAATTTTAAAGTTGCAAGAATAGTACAGAGAGTACTCATATGTCCTTACATTCACCTATTGCAAAGTTTTTGCCCCATTTGTTTTATCATTTGGTATATATTTTTTCCTGGAAACATTTGAGCCTTTCATTCCCTACTTATTTCCTAATAATAAGGATATGAGAGAATATATTTAAAAAAAAAACAAAAACCTTCATATTATAAAATTCTGTTCAGAAAAAAATGATAAAGTCCCTTCCTAAAACTTAGCCAGAGAAAATCAAGACCTATATTTGTCTTTCTAAAGCATCTGATAGAAAGACTGTTATACCACAGTTGCGCTTCAGATTGAAGTTTGGAAAGTAGAGTGAGGATCACAGAAGATGGTTTTCAGGAAACCTTTCATTTATTTATGTTGAATAAGTTACTGTAAGATGTTCCAAAGCCCCAAGTGAGCAGTCTGATGGCTCTGTGGGCCTTCCCTGAGTACTTGTGGTTGACTGGCAGCATTATGAAATTTTCATTTTCACTTCATTCTGGCAGCAAATAATGTTTAAGTGGAGGTGAGAAAGACTAACAATCTATCCTTCCCAATTTCTTTTCTTCCTCATAGTTCTATTTTTCCCTTACTTTTGGTTACTTACATTTAATCTTTCTCCCTATTCACTGAAATCTCCCCTCTGTTTGATGGCTTCTGAATTTCTGGGTGGAATGCTTAGATTTCAGTCACATAAGTCATGAACTGTTAAGATTTTTTTTCAATTTAATTCTCTTATTAAAACGAATGACTTTTACTCAATACAGAAAAAAATTAACATTTGCTTTGTTTTTTCAGTTTTGGAATCAAATGGTAAGATCAGAGAATTTTCTCCCCAAAATGTCACACATGAAGATGACTCACCCCAGTATTTGATAAAGGAGAGAATTCTGATCCAAGACCCTGAACGTTCCAGTTGTAAAGGAAGCTGGAAATGTGAGGATGTTACTGAGATGCTGCAGAGAAATCAAGCATGTGTCAGGCAGGTGACAGTGTCTCAGGAAACCCTGTCTCAACACAGCATCAGCTCCGTGGAGAGGCCCTATGGATGCCGGGAATGTGGGAAAACATTCAGTCGGCGTTTTTCCCTCGTGTTACATCAGAGAACTCACACTGGAGAGAAACCCTACGTATGTAAGGAATGTGGCAAGACCTTCAGCCAGATCTCGAACCTTGTGAAACATCAGATGACACATACCGGAAAGAAACCCCACGAGTGTAAGGACTGTAGTAAAACGTTCAGTTACCTTTCGTTCCTCATTGAACACCAGAGAACACACACCGGAGAGAAACCCTACAAGTGTCCCGAATGCGGAAAGGACTTTGGCCGTGCCTCCAACCTCACCCGACATCAGAGAATCCACATCGGGAAGAAACAGTATGTATGCAGGAGATGTGGGAAAGCCTTCAGCAGTGGCTCTGAGCTCATCCACCACCAGATCACGCACATTGGGGAGAAGCCGTATGAGTGCATGGAGTGTGGGAAGGCCTTTCGCCGATCTTCACACCTCACGCGCCATCAGAGCACGCACACCACCAAAACCCCCTACGAATGCGATGAATGTCGGAGGTCCTTCCGTTGCCACTCATTTCTCAAGAAGCATCAGAGAATTCACACTGGAGAGAAGCTGCATGAGTGTGATGAGTGTGGCAAAGTTTTCAGATGGCACGCATCCCTCGTACAACACAGGAAAATCCACAGTGGAGAAAAGCCCTACGTATGCCCTGAGTGTGACAGAGCCTTCAGTCGGAGCTTCTACCTCATCCTGCATCAGATCACTCACACTGGGGAGAAACCCTATGTGTGTAAGGTGTGCAGTAAGTCCTTCAGCTGGAGCTCAAACCTTGCCAGACATCAGAGAACACACTCTCTAGTGAGACCCCTATGAATATGAAAACGTGTTTAATCACCACCAATTCCTTACGGAATACCAGGGGTTCACACTGTAGAGAAAACCTGAGAATGGACAGGTAACACCAGTTAGCAGCGAATGGCTTCCTCTGACTTCAGAGCCTTATGTGAACGTGCTGAACTGTGAAGGAATGTAGTCCACACTTGTTCAGCACCTTGGAGGAAGACGCCAGGAAAGTGGGAAAGCCATTCAAGCTGCTCACTCTTGACGCGATGCCAGATGAGGGCATTCGTGTTGAGAAGACCCTTCACCTGGAAGGAGTCCTTACTCCATGTGTGTGAACTGCTTCCAGGACAGGGATACATGTCCCATACATGTGAGAAAGCTGCTAATTAGATATCAGCCCTCCCTCTGCGTCTGCCATCTGAAGGAGGAGGGAACGCACAGGGAGGGGCACTCCTTTCTGGACAGAAAATTCAGGGTGAAGCAAAGTCTACAAACAGTGATTTGGGAATGCCTTCGTGTGCCACACGGTATTTATTGGATTTTAGAATATTCTTCTAAGGAGAAAAACCCTGTAAATGAGCTGGATATAGGTTGACTTTCCATAAACTTTAAACCTCTAGAATCATTCGGGGAAACAGTACCATTGTAATGTGTGTGGGGAAGTCTTAGAGTTCCCACAAGTCATACTGGGGGAATCAGTGTGGGAGTTATTTTTTAGCGGGGAATGTTTGCTTTGGCCTTTATTTTGAAAAGCAAACTCAGAAAAGAACACTATGAATAAATCTTTTGATTGAGAATAAATTAATGTGCACTGGAGTTTTTCCCACAGTGTACGTGATTCTGAAACTGCAGCTACCAGTCAGTGCAAAGCTGTGTGCTTTTGTGGAAAGCAACGTAACTAGGGAAACCTTAGGTGTCCCAGCTTCTAGCTTTGAGACGTTGTGTTTAAGGTTATGCTCTCTCACGTTTACCCTTGAATCTGCCTAGATGTGGCTTCTGCAATCTGAAATAACTGTAAATAAGGTCGACCACAGGAAATGCCAAGGCAGTTTTCCTGGTGCTCCGAGAATATTTCTTTTGTAAGCTCATTGTTGTCAAAATCAATCAGATGTTTCCTTTCCATGGACGCCCTGCCCACATTCTAATGTCCCAGTTAAAGGTTTACATTATCTGGGAAGCATGTGACCACTTCTCTTGAAATCTTCTTTGCATCTAGTATATGTAACATGCAGTTTCGTACTTGAGTAAGAGCCTCATTTTTTTTTCATGTACATGTAAACCTTTCACACAATGAGAGGCATTTTTCTTTCCCACTCGATGTGACATGACAGAACACATAGCTGCCGTCTAATTTATTCTTAGGATTGCCCAAAGCCTCAAACTACCAGAACTGCTGAACCAGCTCCTCCCTTCCCCAGGGTGGTCAGCACTGGTACTTCCCCTCGCACCATGTGGGGAGGTCTTGGATGAACAAGAATGTATCTGTCACTCCAGAGGCTTGTCCCATTCGGGGATGTGGCCACAGACTGCTCTCAGGAGGAATGGGACTGACTGGACTCTGCCCAATAGAGTTTATATGGGATGCAACAATGGACGACTATGGGAACATGGTCTGAGTTTGCCATTCCTCTGAATTCAGAACCTGAATGTAGGTGTCTTTGCTGTCTCCATAGATCCCGGGGTGGGTGCTCAGTGGCCTGAAGTCCTATTCCATGTTCTTGAGGAAATGGTGGAAAATTGGTAGGAATGGAAAGTGGCAAGCATTTTTCCTCCTGCTGTTCTTGTAACAGTTTCCCTAAGAGATCAGGTCTGGATCTCAGAAAACGAAATTTTTTTTTTTTTAAAGATTTTTTATTGGGGAATTGGGGGAAGGGCAACAGCCAAGTTGCTGTCCTTTTTGTTCTTCAGTCTAGTTGTGGAGGACGTGGCTTCACTGGCCCATGTTGGTATTATCATTGAGCTCTTCCTGGGTGAGACAGATGGGTCTCCAGCCACTGGACAGCAGCTCACGGCGGCTCTTGGCAGCTCACGCTGGCTGCGGGCTGCTCATGCCGGCTGCCAGCCACTCCTGGTAGCTTATGGCAGCCCAGCTCCAGGTCGAGCTGTTGTTCAGCATCTTAGCTGTAGAGGGCAGTGTCACTGGCCCTCATGTGGTATCCAAATGGGCTCTACCTCTCAGAGCTGGCTTCCCAAGCCAACTCTTACCCAATGTGCCACTCGGCCAGCCCACGAATATTTTGAAGTATCTATTTTTTCACTCTTACAAGCAGAACTGCCTATTTCTAAACCAAATCTGACCTTGTTGGGGCAAGGAAAAGAGATAGAGAGAAAAAAATTGACAGAGGCCTGTGATCAGGTAAACATGGGGCAATTGGCTGTAAGTGCCTTTACAGGTAGTACAGCTCATGGATCTAGTACCTGAATTGTTTAATCAAAAATTAGATCTTTCCCCCCTAAAACTCCCTTCATGTGACTTCACTCTGAACTATGTAACTCATCCAAAAAGTCCTCTCATTGATCTGTGGTAAGATATTCCAGAAAATAACTATGATATTTTTAATTAAACTAAAATACAGGCAATTCCTAGATTATACAGTAAACGATGTCAGGACAGTCGCCAGTGGAAAGAAGTGATCAGCTTGTGGATGTTTTCGTTCATACAGTGTGCTTTGTCATTGCCAGGTTGAGGGCAAGGCTCCTCATTGCTTTCTTTCACTTACTTTTAGCACGTACTAAATGTGTCACATCTTTCTACACTTTATACACGGTTTATTATGAGCTAGTGTTCTCTCCAGAGGCAGGAGACAACAAAATGTTGCCTGTCTTTTCAAGATGAACATCAGTAACAACAGCCAGACATGCTGAGATGGATGAGCATATGAAGCTGCACTTTGAAAGATTGTGTAATATTTTGGGTACAATACTTGAGACAGAAACGTGGTGAGACATTGTGACCATCTCAAGTGGTAAACACCCACTGGAGATGCTAGGTCTGCAGCGTAACTCCGCAGTTTACCCATTTGAGGTGTGTAAGTGTATGGGAAACATACAAGGATGTAACTGTTGCACTTGTGACAGGTACAGTATCTTTATTACTCTGTTGTCATGGTTACTCTCATGCATACACTCACTGTAAAGGCACCGTACTCCTGTCCTTTACAGGAGCGCACATTAGGGAATCTTTCACACAACACGGTTCTTGCCTGCAGTGATTCCTTATATAATCTTTTCTGAATTGAACTGAGTTTGCATTGAGTAAGTCTCTTCTGATCAAGTATACACCTGAGTGACCATCAACATTTGCACACTCCTAGACGCAGATGTCACATCGTCGTGCATGTCAAATACGGTTACAGCTGTTTTTACTGTTATTCCTTCAACTACATGCAGTGTTGTTATGAGGTTGAGTTTAACTGCTGTTTATAATATCTTCAAAAAGTCCACTTCTACCTAGGATGCAGTATGGTGGCAGCAAGCAAAGCAGATAAATTATACAGAAATATTTTTAAAGGCATCATAGAGCTGTGGAAGCAAAGAGGACTCGATGAAAAATTCCAAAGGGGGCAACCCTCAGGTGACCTGCTCATCACAGGCTGGTTTATTCCCCCCTTGTAAGCATTTCCCGATACTGGATGTGGGCTGAAGCTCGGGCTGGGCCCAGGAAAGGGCCTTTGCTGGGGGAAAGAGTTTTTAAGGATCACCTAAGGTGCAGGTGGCAGATCAGAAATGTTAAAAGCCACAAATGCACAGTGGGTTTTTGCCCATGGGACATGTGCTGAGTTCTCGGGCTGGGCAGCAGACTGGGGGCTAGACTACGCTTCAAAAGGCAGAGTGAACTAGCTGCAGTGTGTGGTGCTGAGGACTGAAAACCCACTAGGGAAGGGTAACTGCCTGCAATAACAGCCAGCCTCTTCTTCAAGCCATCTGGCAAAATCTGAAGCTGCAAAGGGTAGGACGTTAAGGACACTCACCCTAACAAGCCCTCAGATTTAACAGCTTAGGAGAGTCGTATCCAAAACACAAAGGTAAACTGAGTCAGGATACAGATTCTACCCAGCTCCATCCCTGATTGGACTGAGGCAATCAGCCCCTCAAACTATCTGCAGAGGAAAAGAGACTCGCAGGTAGGAGATGTCATAACCTGGAGACCCTGTGCTTCTTGTGAACACCAGGCATACAACATGCATTTCTTAAATTACAGGTGAGTTTAAATCATGACATCTATTGACCAGTGAGTTTCCTCTCTATGTTAAAATATTGTCTCTATTGTCTTCAAAGAACTCTGTGTGGGAAGGAAATGAGACTGTTTTCTGTCCCTCAAATTTCATACATGAACCACTACAATAGCCACCTAAACTGTTCCCCCAGGATTTTTTTTTACAACAGCCAGTGTGATCTTTTTAAAACAAATAATTTCAATCTCTTTATGAAAGATCCCTGAAGAGCTCCTCATAGCTCTTCAAATAAAAAGTAAACTTCTGGGGCCGGCCGAGTGGCGCGATGGTTAAGAGCTGGCTTGGGACGCCAGAGGGCCCTGGTTCAGATCCCACATATGAGGGCCAGTCACACTGCCCTCCACAGCTAAGATGCTGAACAACAGCTCAACCTGGAGCTGGGTTGCTGTGAGTTGCCGGCAACAGCATAGGCTGCAGCCCCTGCTGCAGTGGGTTGCCATGGGCTACCGTGTGTAGCCAGTAGCCAGTGTGAGCGGCCATCCAGAAGCCGGCGACTGATCTGCCTCACCCGGGAAGAGCGCAATGATGGTGCCAACTTGGACCAGTGAAGCAACGTCCTCCACAACTAGACTGAAGAACAAAACGACAGCAACTTGTCTGTTCCCTGCTCCAATTCCCCAATAAAATCTTAAAAAAAAAAAAATCTAAATCCCAACCCCAACCCAGCACAACCGCCCTTCTGAGCACCGCTGACGATGTTCTCACGCAAGCACCAAGTGTGTACGTCCAACACAAAATATTTAACTCTCAGTGACTTCACAGTCCTTTTCTCTTAAACAAGGTTACTGTGCTGATTGTATTCATATACTGCTTTTAAGAAAACCAGTAAGCTGGGCCGGCAGAGTGGCGCGTTGGTTAAGAGCTGGCTTGGGACGCCAGCTCTGAGCAGCAGGGCCCCAGTTCAGATCCCACATGAGGACCGTGACGCTGCCCTCTACAGCTAAGATGGTGAACAACAGCTCGACCTGGAGCTGGGCTGCCATGGGTCACCGGAGACAGTGTAGGCTGCAGTGGGCTGCCGTGAGCTACCGTGAGCGGCTGGTAGCCAGCGTGAGCAGCCGTCCAGGGGTCATAAGCAGTCATCCAGTGGCCAGCAACCGATCTGCCTTGCCCGGGAAGAGTACAATGATAATACCAACATGGGCCAGTGAAGCGATGTCCTCCACAACTAGATGAAGAACAAAAAGGACATCAACTTGTCTGTTCCCCTTCCTCGATTCCCCAATGCTTTTCCCCTCCCCCAATTCCCCAATAAAATCTTTAAAAACAAAGTTTTTAAAAAAACAGGTAAAGCTTTAAAAAAAAAAAAAGAAAGAAAACCACTAAGCTTACTTTTCCCATAAAAAAATGTCCAGATACAAGCAGTGTAGAGCTGGTACAGCCATTTAAAGTGGCTCTGAGGACTCTTTCTTGTACCCCATCCTTAGGCACGGTTGTCATTCTCACCATCAGAAGATGGCTCCTTCAGCTCTAGGAGTGGAAAAGCCACAGGGAGTATGGGGAAGGCAGACAGGCAAAGAGGAAAGACCAGGTCTGTCCCTAGTGACTCTAGTTCCAATTCCTCAGAAATGAGGGAGATAGTGACCCTTGGCTGAGAAGCTCTAACTAGACTCTGGTATTATGAGCTCAAACAGCATCATCACTAGGGAAGGATAAGCTTGTTTAATTGGCCACTGGCAATATCTGCCACACCCAGCCAGAAAGCAACTCTCAAGAAAACCCCAATGAAGTACTACAGTCCAGATACTCGGAATGTAGTGCCGTTAACTTAGAAATCAATCAACTGGAAACTGAACCTCACATGTTACAAATACTTCATTCTGAATAGCTATGGATTTAAAAAGTCATAATAGATATTAGACATTTAGAATTAAAATAAACTAAGACCAATATGTGTTATGTAGCTAGAGGAGCATTTAGAGGACTATTTTTAGCCTTCAATGCTTATTTTAGAGGAGACTGAAAAAATGAGCTTGTGGTCCACCTGAAGACAACAAAGACGGTGATTCCACACTGAAGACACAGGGATTCTCGCGCAGTATGAGTTCTCTTGTGTATAGTAAGTGAAGAACTCTGACTGAAGGCTCTTCCACACTGAGGACACTCATAGGGCTTCTCTCCAGTGTGAGTTCGCACGTGTCTTCTCAGGGAAGAGGAAACACTGAAGGTTTTCCTACATTCCTTGCACTTGTAGGGTTTCTCTCCAGTGTGAGTTCGCACATGCATTCTAAGGGATGAGAGGCCACTAAAAACTTTCCCACAGTCGCTGCATTCGTATAGATTTTCTCCAGTGTGTATTTTCTTGTGAACTTTAAGGTGAGAGCTTGTATTAAAGGCTTTCCCACAATCACTGCACTCGTAGAGTTTCTCTCCAGTGTGCGTTCTCTTGTGCACTATAAGGTAGGAACTGGTGCCAAAAGACTTTCCACACTGAGGACACTTGTAGGGTTTCTCTCCAGTGTGAGTTCTCACGTGAGCCTTAAGAGATGTTTTCTGACTGAAGGCTCTTCTACCCTGAGGACACTCATAGGGCTTCTCTCCAGTGTGAGTTCGCATGTGTCTCCTCAGGGTTGAGGAGTCACTGAAGACTTTTCCACACTCCCGACATGCATACTGTTTCTCACCCAGGTGACTTCTCTGGTGCAAAGTGAGATCAGAAACCCTTCTGAAGGCTTTCCCGGACTGAGTCCACTCCTGTTTCTCTCCAGCAGGAGGCTGCTGCTGTCGCTTAAGGGATGAACAATGACAAAGGGTTTTGTTCTTGTTACAGTCATAGGAATTTCCCACCGTGTGTAGGTGGTTCCGTAGAGGGAGTACACTATGTTTTACATCATGTTTGGAGCACGCATGCTCTTTCTGTGCTGTTTGAGTGCTTTCAAGATGCCACAGAGCTCTACCATATTCACAACTTCCACAGAGCTTCTCACTTACAGAGTTTTCCTCGTAATTGTTTAGGATTGAGTTATGCTTCAAACACCCAACAGATAAGGAATATTTATGGCAGTGTTTCCTGGTAGAAACTCTCTTTGAAAAACTAAGTTTTGATCTAAGTTTAGAGTTTTCCTCTAATTCACAACAGTCACAGAATCTCTCCTGACACACTGTTTTCTTCTGGGTAAATGTGACTTGCCTCAAATTACCCTCTGAGATCTTGTGCTGTTTTCTGATCTTACGGCCTCCCCACTCTTCTCCTAATGTGGGAGGCCACTCACCCATCATAATTCTTACCACTTTAACTCCATCGGATGCTTCTTCCCAAAAAATACTGTGCATAGGTGTTGATTCTTTGGTTTCAATTTGAGTCTCCCAGTCTGCATAGGTGCCCTGAGGAATTCTTTGCCTAGTTATCATCTTTTCTTGACCCAGCAGGGAGAAACCACGAGGCTTGCATAACTGACGTTCCACTGAGGTAAGATTCACGTAGTTCTCCAGCATCACGTCTCTGTACACACTTCTCTGAGCAGAGTCCAGCATCACCCACTCTTCCTGCGTGAACTCCACAGCCACATCTTTAAAGGTCACTGGTCCCTGGAGCCAGGTGGCTGGAAATCCAGCCACCATCCTTTCCTCTTCAGTATCGCTCACACAAAAGAAGGCAGAGTACTGTGCAGTCTGAGCCCGTAGTGGGGACAGGTCAGTCTCTGCCATCTTGAGAGTCTGAGAGACATCTGCCCGCACAATAAAAAGATCAGGGTATTTCTTTTCTTGTTTCTCTCATCCAGTCAAGGCAAGGGTATCACTGGGCATCATCCCTGTAGGCAGAGGCAGATTCACGTAAAAGGAGAAAGGTGAAAACGGGGCCCCATTGGAGGCAACATAAAAACTGTATGCCCTCCCCCTACCTCCCAGCAAGGTCTGACCAGCTAAATCTTTGCTGGATTTGTAATGACATGCAATATAGTCATCCTCAGCCACCTTCTGGAACTGCTACCTTGGTTATTTATACTGGCTTCACCTGCAGATGACTTCTCAGCCCTGGGGGGAAGGAGCATGCATTATTAAAAAGAAATTAAAGCTAAAGACAACCAGTCAAAAAAGGATGGTTGTTTAAATACATTTCACGCATACTTTGCTACTTTTTTAGTTAACATTTTGGAATTGAAAAGTAATCTTCCTGCTAAACACTACCATTTTAGGTAAATTTATTTGTTCTACATATAACTTGATATTTATCTGAATAACCTCACATATGATTAATAGGACTGATGATTTGGCTGCTACCTTACTTAGGAACTTTATCAGAGTTGATAAAGGTAGATATGTGACTTTGAAACAAACATTAATTTGATTACCTCCAATTTAATCTGTATCCGCAAAGTCCATATTTCCTTAGGATATGTCATTCCAGGTAATACCTGAGTGGGATTAACAAAGAAGCATGAACTATGCTCCAAGCCTCGGGAGTGAGGCCTCAACAGTTTTAGATGGCCAAGTACTTCCTTGAATAATTCTTGTAAAAGATTTACCGTATTTGCCGGCGTATAAGACGACTGGGCGTATAAGACGACCCCCTAACATTTCCACTCAAAATACAGAGTTTGTTATATACTCGCCGTATAAGACTACCCCCTCTTCCGCACACCTTCCACACACCAAATAAAAGGTAAAACAATATCAGATTTGATTTCAACATTTATATTTATATTCAAATGCTTATGACATGCAGGAAAACTGTCACAAGGCTGTATGTAATCAAACATATACATAAATCACGATTCGCGATTTTGCGCTATCATACTGGGTGTATGGTCGGCTGTGTGCGATTTTGCGAGTGTGGTAAAATCGCATAACAGCAAAATCGCATAACAGCCGAGCATACACCCAGCAGCGCTGCTGATGCCTGAACGGTATGTGGAATGAAGTGGGCGAGCATCGGGAGGCCACTATGGCACGGGGAAAGCACTATGGGCAGTCTATCTGAAGTGTACCTGGCGTATAAGACGACCCCCCACTTGGAGGCATATTTTTCAGGGCCAAAAAATCGTCTTATACGCCGGCAAATACGGTAATCTAAAAAACAACATAATGAACACAGTGTGTGAATACAAAAGGCAAATGCTTAGACTTTCAGGATCACAGCAAAGCATGCAATAATTTATTATGCTGATACTTTTATCGGTCTCAGTTTTTGAAGATTAGATGTTAACCTTCAAATGCAAGCCTTCTCTCTCAGTATCATATGTCAGAGGAGTTGTTTTAATGGACCAAATTACAGAATTGGCATTTTAATTGAGACAGGTATATTCTATGTCCCTATACCCGAAATGTGTATAACTCTGTTACTTTAGTGTAAGTAACATAGAAATAGATTTGTCTGAAGATAATAAGATTATAATCCACTAAAAAGGTGAAAAAGAATTTCAGGAAATAGAACATCCACACAGACATGAGGGGAGGGAATGGATGAGGGTAAAGGGAAGTCCCAGTGTGCCAGTGGGCTGATGCCTAAGGAATAACTGATCAGCTTAGACTGCAGGAGGATGGAAGGCTCCTCGGGTATGTGTTCAAGAGAAAACGGTGAGATTGTATGACAGGTTTTCACCTTGAGGAAAAAGTAATTGAGAGGAATTTTATATAGGTTTAAGAAAAAAAGCAAATGAGTATAAAAAGGCAATGATTAAAAACTGAAAAAGGGGCTGGCCAGGTGGCTCAGCTGGTTAAGAGCTCACTTGGGAGCACAAGCTCTGAGCAGCAGGGCCCCGGTTCGGATCCCACACTGAGGGCCAGTGACACTGCCCTCTACAGCTAAGATGGTGAACAACAGCTCAACCTGAAGCTGGGCTGCTGTGAGTCGCTGGCGACGGCGTAGGCTGCAGCGGGGCTGCAGTGGGCTGCCATGAGCTACGTGAGCGGCTGGCAGCCGGCGTGAGCTGCCAGGAGCTGCTGTGAGCGGCTGACCAATGACCAGTGACCGACCAATGACCAGCGACCGACTGCCTCACCCCGGAAGAGCACAATGATCATACCAACACGGGCCAGTGAAGCGACGTCCTTCACAACTAGACTGAAGAACAAAACAGCAATTTGTCTACCTGTCTGTTCCCCTTCCCAGATTCCCCAACGCTGTTCCCCTCCCCCCAATTTCCCTATAAAATCTTAAAACAAAAAACAAACAAACAAAAAACTGAAAAAGTAAAATTTGTACAAAAAGAACTTATGGTTCAGCAATAAAGATTATTTACATAGTTATCATGATAAAAACACTGATCATGGATTTAACCAATTTTTGTAAGACAACTACACTGCAATACTTGCAACATAATTACATTCTGATACAGGAAGGAATGAAGGAGGAATGAAAGGAAGGAAGGAACAAAGGAAGGAAGGGTGTTAACAGTAAAATTTCAATAAACACAGTAAGAAATTGGAAAATGTCTCAAATTAATGAATTTTAAAAACACTGAAGACAGTTCAAAGCCAGAACTGCTTAAAAACTTCAAAGTCACTGCCACCAAGAAGAAGCAGGGGCCTCCTGTTTTTACTACGAGCCTTACAATATATTAGACTTTAAAAACTGTATATACATATTTCTTGGACAGTAAACAAATTATAGAGAAAATATGTAATCAAATCGAGGAACAGAAAAACAGCAACAAATTTAAAAATGGACAGAAAAAGTTATTTAAAAGAAAACCAAAATACAAAGACATCAGACAAAACTAAAAGACAGATCACAAAAACAACCCAAATCTGCTTCTTTGAAAAGGTTAATGAACATGTATATCTTGAAGGATGAATCAAGAAAATAAAGATAAGTGCTCATATTAGGCTCAAAAAAACCCCACAAAAAACCTACAATTACAGCAGTGATTTTAAAAATCACTTTATAAAAGAACAGCACAACTACATGCAAGCAAACTTAAAAATGCAGATGAAATGAATAATTTTCTAGAAAAACCTAACTCTTTAAAATTGACTCAGTAAGAACTACAAAACCTAAATCAGTCAACTACCACTAAAAAATTGAATCAAAAGTAAAATATTTTGAGCCCAAAACTTTCAAGGGAAAAACTATTTTACGGAACAGAAGAAAAAAGCTGTGTTTCCCAGATTATGAATAAGGATAGTACAAAGAAGATTAACCACCCTGGCGGTAATCCCAAGTGTGGCTTGGGTTAATTTTCACTGCCAGAAGCGGTAACCCCGAGCCACACTCGGGATTACACCGCAGTGTCCCAGAGAAGTCCCTTACCTGCTCCCTGCGATCCTGCGGTGTCCTCCTGTGATCGCCAACGAGAACGCCGGTCGATGACCAATTGAAGTGTTTTTTATTTGATTACAGTATTGAATAAAATTATACTATTTTTTATAATTTTTATTATAATTTATGATTTTGTTTCAAACTTTATCATACCTGGGATGCCTACTAGACTCTTGTTTGGACAGATTTAAGTGAGTAATTCCTAAGAATTACAGGCCTACAATATAAAACAACAAATTTCCATGCAAAACAATGTACCACTTTGGGTACAAAATTATGACATAATCAGACGGCCAGGGAGGTTAAAATGCAATCATAATTATGAATACTGAAAACAACCTAAGTAATATATTAATAAATGGAATACGACTTTGTATTAAAATAATACCATCATATCACACTCAAGCAGGGTTTAACCAGGAATATAAGTGCGGCTAAGAAACAAAAAAAGTATTATTGCTACTATAATGTAATAGTATAATGAACACTCTTGTAACCATCACTCTATTTTGAAACACATCCTGAAATGACATATTATTTGTATTTCGGAGTTTATTTCTGAATGATAAGAACCCTGGAAAAATCAGGATATTATCACACCTACTAAATTAGCATTAATTCCTCAATACCAAACACATAGGTAGAGTTCACATTTTTGTCATCCTATAAATGCTTTTTAAAGTCATTTTTTTCTTCGACTCATGATCCAAATAAGGTTTATACAATTTTAGGTCTTTTAACGTAAGGTTTGCCTTAGAGAAATTGCACCGCTGTGATGCAGCCCATTAGGGGATTAAGGGACAAGCTCCTGGGTCAAGAGGCGGCCCCAGGAGCCCCCGCTCCTTCGCTTACAGCCTCCCCCTCACGGCCGTTGGCAGCTCCCCGCGGCGGGACCGCCCCCAGATCACCTGCGCGCCGCCTGGTCCCCGCCCCTGGGGTTCCGCGGAGCCCCAGCCTTGGGCAGGGCCTTGCTGGGCCGACCCCCGCCGCCCGCGCCCGGCTCCCCGTCTCCCCGCCGCTCTCGGGCAGGCCCTCCTGGCACACAGGACTTGAGCGACTGCTCTCCCTGCGCTCTCGCTCTCGCCGCGTCTCCTCGGTCTCCACGGGCTCCATCGAGCTCACCCGTCCTCGGTGCACCCGCCTCTTGGTGTCGGAACGCCCGGGCCTCCGCGACAAGGGGGCGGCGCGGGGCGGGCGGCGACGCCCGGGGGACCCCGGGCCGCCGGGTGGGAGGCGGGGCTCTTAGCTCCCGCGCTCGGTCGCCCGTCCCGGCCGAGCGCCGGGACTACGTTTCCCAGGAGCCCTTGCGGGGCCTCGCGGAGGATTCTGGGCCTCGCGTCACGGCTGCCGCTCTCGGCGGAGGGGTCGCGCGCGCGCGCGCGCGCGGCGCGGACGGTGCCTGAGTGGACGGGCCGGGGCGCGGCGTGTGCGCGAGGCATTAGGCCGCGTGAGTGCGCGTGCGCGTGTCGGCCCCGGGGCGCGTGCGCGAGAGGACGGGCTCGCGGCGTGGCGGGCCCGGGGGGAGACCCGCGCCGCCTCCCGCGGGCCCTTGCGCCCGCCCGCCCGCCACGGGGGCCCGGCCCCACCGAGCAGCCGCCGCCGCTGCCATTGTGACGGGGCTGCTCCCACCCGCCGTCTGGGGCGGAGGAGGGACGGCGCCAGCGCGCCGGGGCCTCACGGGCGGATGCAGTGATCCTCTCCCGAGCGTTGCGGCGGGGCAGCCTCCTCGTTCTAGGCAGACGGTAATCTTATCCTTATGCCATTTTTCTTCCTAACGGCGATTTCTGCCCCTTGCACGGATGACTTTCCCCTGCGTGGCGCTGCTTGGATCCCCGTCGTGGCGTGCACCGCAGACGTGTCTGGTTTTCCGGGGGTCGGGCAGCGCGCCGGTGTCTGAACGCGCCGCGGGGCGGGGGTGCTGCGCTCGAAGCACCGTCTCCGCGATGCAGAGTTGGGGCTCCTCGGTTCCCGCTGCCGGGGTCACCCTACACCTGGGACTAGGTGTTTAAAAGATCGCATGTGGCCTTACTAGCATCTGCTGAAAATCATCATGTTCTTTTCTGTTAGTGTAAGAAATTTCTTAACGCTGAAAGCCTAGGAGAAAAGCAACGTGGTTATACTGGTTTTAATAATATGCACCGCTGGAGCCTCTTCAAGGATGTTGTAGAAGTTACTATGCCAACCCCTCAACGGTGTACGTCTGCTTTTAATACGTTTGGTGGTGGAAAGGGCTGGATAGGCTTCTATTTTTTGGTCTAAAATTATTGATTAAAATGTCAGTCTTATTTTCACTCTTTAGGATCAAGTAGGCTTGTATGTGGTTTTTAGAAAAAAAAAAACACCCATAAATCTCTAGCCCCTAGTTGCCTGTTCTTCAGTTGTTGTTAAACTCAACTAGATTAACTGGCAGTTTGTATGTGTTTAATCTAGTTTTATTTTTCAGAGACAGCTCGTAAATTTAGTTATATTTTTATTTTCCCTTGACACTGGAGTACTTAAATTAAGATGATCATCTGATGTCTAGTATGAATGTCAAAGATAAGGTTGACATCAAGATTCTATACATCCCACTCAAAGTATATGGAGAAGGTGAAGAATTTCAGTACTATCTATACCTTAGAGCAGAACATACTGTTATTAAAAACAAAGAAAAGAAAAAGAATAAAAGGGAGGCAGGATGTCATCCAGAATGCTTCCTAACAAATGTTAGCTTAGAGAGGTTGACTAAGGTTGAGTGTGTAGCCAGGAAATAAATAGCACAGCTCCTCCCTACGCCTTCCTAAGCCACCTCAACTCGACACCAACTTTTCTCTATGATCCAAGTATCACCTCATCAACTCTTCTGTTTCATTAAAATTGTCTCTCTGTCTCGTAAACCTTCATGGACAGTGAATTGCACATTTCTGCCTTTTCTTTCATTCTTTCTCTCAACACATTTCTTGAGCACTTAGCATGTGCCAGTCACAGGGCAAGGATTTTAGATACATATAAATTAAATGAGGAAGTCTGCTTATCAGTGTTTTATGTAAGAATCGTCTCAAAACCCTGCTTAGGACAGTACAGTATTTACATAGAATCGGGGCTACCTGAAGGAAGCCTAGTCCCGACCCAGACAGTTAAACCACTCTCTCTCGGTGGGCAAGGGTGGCGTGGGAACCAAGGTATCAGTGATTTATGAACATGCCTGGCAATTCCAGCGTGCAGTCAGGATTGAAAAACTGGTTTAGATAAAGGTTTGAGTAAACTAGAAGTGGAGGTTAAGGGAAATTAGGATGCAGTGCAACTAATTGTGAACTATTTGTGTTTTAAATCACAAAAGGGCAGAGTCGTTGGAATGGACCTCTGATATCCATGGAAACTGGAGGCTGTACTATACTTTTGGGTTCCTTTTATATGATCCTATTGAAAATTTAATGGTGACCAGAAATTTCTTGCCTCCTTGTACAACCACTTCTATATCCAGATGTCATTTGATCAACAGTGTCTTATTACGTTGACTTCTTTGCAGTTGACTTCTTTGTGATTGCACACATCGCCCTTAATTCTGCCCTCCGGAACAACTCAGAATAAATATTATCCCTCTTCCACAAGACCTGTAACCGTATGAAGATCATTCTTTTGCTCCCCACAAGTTATTTCTTGTGCAGACTAGACATCCCTGGTTATTTCAGCCATCACTCATCTGACACTGAACAGTCAGCTCCATGTGCATAGCCACTACTCAGGTCTCAGCCCTGAGAACAGTACTTACTTGGCACACTGCAAGCAGCCAGCCAAGTCTGGTGCAGGGAGGCATGAATGAAGGAGCCGTATGTATTCACTGTGCTTTCTTACCCTGCTAACTGTGGCATCCTGACTCCTTAAAATAAACCTGGTACTCCTCTAGTAATGTGCATTCAAGGTACGTGTAGCACCCACTTCCTTATCTTAACTCCCACACCTAATATGTCATTGCCTTTGTCAGCTAAAACTTGTAAATAATCCTTACTCCTTGGGAAAAGGCTAAAAATCCAGTAAGGATAGGACCTGTACCTGGCGTTGAAGACCTCACTCCACGTGCACACGACCCCTTGGTCAGTGAGCTGTGGCTCTCTCTTGCTGCGGCTTTGTTCAGCTCATGTAGGTTGTATTAGGGACTATGGAGGTAAAGAGGAAGGAACACTAGATCTTCCGGAGAAGCTAGGGAATGGCACACAAGGGAAGGCCTTGTGTGATCTTGCAGGGTGGTGGGGTTTCTGTCAAGAGGCAGGAGGGAAGAGTACTGCTGGCAGAAGAGTAGCGTGTGTGAGGGGTTTGAGGCGGTTTAACATGTGATGGGGAAAGTGTAATAGTTCGATGGAACATTTGGAGATAGTGAGATAGAGAAGGCCCAGCCACACAGGACCGTGAATGCGTGCTAAGGACTTGACCCATTTTCCTGTAAGTGCTGGGAGACCAACAGAGAATTTTAACCAAGCAGTGAAACATGTTTTACAGAGATGACCCTGATGTGGACACTCATTGGAGTGGGAGAGAACGAGGCAGACAAGCCCAGTAGGATGTCTGTAAGTCAAGAATTACGAGGCCTGGGCTGGCCAAGTGGCACGTTGGTTAGGAGTTGACTTGGGACGCCAGCTCTGAGCAGCAGGGCCCCAGTTTGGATCCCACATTAGGGTCGGTGATGCTGCGCTCTCTACAGCTAAGATGGTGATCAACAGCTCAACTTGGAGCTGGGTTGCGGTGAGTCGCCGGTGACGGCATAGGCTGCAGTGGGTCTGGCTAGAAGCAGGTGCGAGCTTTCGTGAGCTGCTTTGAGCCGCTGTAAGTGGCCATCCAATGGCCAGCGAGCAATTGCCTCACCCGGGAAGAGTGCAATGATCATACCAACATGGGCCAGTGAAGCGACGTCCTCCACAACTAGACTGAAGAACAAAAGGACAGCAACTTGTCTGGTCTCCTTCCCTGATTCCCCAATGCTGTTCCCCTCCCCCAAGTCCCCAATAAAATCTTTGGGGAAAAAAAAATAATAATTACGAGGTCTGAACCAAGGCCAAGGCAGCAGGATTCTAGAGGAAAAGATGGATGGGAGAAAATTTAGGAGAGGGAATTTACAGGTTGCAATAACTGACTGGATGTTGGGAGGACAGAATCTAGAAAGACACTTGCATGACTGGGTCATTAGATGTCAGTTTTTTGTGGTTTTTCTTCTTTGAAAGGGAATGCATTTTTACAGGAAGGGTGTACCAGAATGGGGGAGGAATTACTCCAGGAGGGGTAAAGTTGGCGAGACTCAAATTTCCAAGAAGCTTGAAGTATTGGTAGCCGACAAGTTGGAGCCTGCCACTGTCCTTCACGTTGTGAGAACTGGCTGTTTCCACAGGAAGCTTCAGGCAGCACTGCTGATCATTTGGGCAGGTGGAATGCGTTTCTGCCTGGAATCCGGGGCTCCTGGCTCTTGCCACAGTGGCATCTGAACAGGCCACCTTATTTTGACATCTCATACTTCCCTGCTTCATGTTCTCTGGTTTAGTCCGTGTATTGATTGGCATCATTTATTAATTTAAGGGATTAAAGTCTTTTAAAACTGTTGAACTAAGAAACAGAAAAATCATTTTATTTATTTTCTCTGTCTATGTGGGAAATAAGAAACTGCCAATAATCTCTCTCTCGATCACTGGTGTATTGTAAGAGGATATAACTGAGGAACAGCCAGATGGAAGAGCTGCCCAGGGCCAGGTGTGGGGAAGGGCAGGAGCCTCCGTGCCCTCCAGGTGCCACCTCCCTCATCCCCACGTGCTCACCAGCCCAGAGGCTCCCAACTGTTTTCTTAATTAACAAACAGAATCCTTAGCATGTGCCTACTACTGTTGTATGTGCCTGATAAATATTGCCTCACTTAATTATCATCATAACTCTGTGGGACGGGCACTGTTTTATCACCGTTGTACAGATCAAGAGACTGTTAAGAAACTGCCTGGTAGGTAATGGAGCAGGGGTTTGAATCCCGTCAGTCTGGCTGCAGTCCACACTGTTAGCCCCTGAGGTCAGGGAAAGAGGTTGGGATAGAAGACAGAGTGGCCTGTCCATTCTAGACAAAGCACTTAGCCTGTGTGTGCCATGCAATGGCGTAGACAGTGGGGATAAAGAAAGTAGATACACTGTGCCCTAACTGCTTGGGGGTCACTGAAAATCGAGACCAAAAAAGATTGAGGATGCAATAAAGGGAAACCTACTTTTAAGCTAATCATAACTTTTGAAATCATTAGAGAAGACTAAGAAGTACCAAGGAGGAAATCTAGGTGAGGAAGGAAGCAGTGTAAATACAGAGGTTCAGGAACAATGGAGAGACCAGCAGTACCCTCCATAACAGGTGTCACTGGGGAGCCATTCAGTGGTGGGGGCTGGGGCAGAGCCAGAGTGCTTTTATTTATTTAAGCATAGGATTGAAATGGAAACCATTAACATCTCCAGAAGACAAAGGGGACAAACCCTATGAAAGAAAACAAAATACAAAAGAACTATAAATGTAAACATGTAGGAAGTATTCAACGCAGTGTTTAAAATATGGAAATTAAAAATATAGTCAAAATTTAAAACAAGTTAAAAATGCAGTGTTTATACACTTTTGCTTCTGGCCAAGATGGAGTAACAGGGAGTGGATTTACCCTCTTGCCCAAATTAAAGCAACAACAAAAAGATGACAAAGTACATGACAAAATTGTTTGAAGATGTCAGACAGTAAAGGACAGTCATCCCTATGAGATGGAAAACCAACGAGGTAACCCCTCTGGTTTCCCCAGTTTGTTGCCATGAGTGGGTGTCCAGTTTACAGCAGAGGAAGGGAGTGCAGTGGAGCCCAGCAGACTTCCTGAGTCAAGGACATGGAGCTGAGAATCTGGGGAGGGCTCACAGGACAGGACACCAGACAGGAGGGACCTGCCCAGGGTCTCCCTCGGGTCATCAGAGCCCGGATCAGCATGCGTATGAGGATGAGCACACCTGAGGCCAGTGGCAGAATCCTCTAAGGCAGCGGTTCTCAACCTGTGGGTCATGACCCCTTTGGGGGTGGAACGACCCTTTCACAGAGGTCGCCTAAGACCATCGGAAAACAAAAAGATATTTACATTACAATTCATGACAGTAGCAAAATTACAGTTATAGAGTAGCAATGAAAATAATTTTATGGTTGGGGGTCACCACAACATGAGGAACTGTATTAAGGGGTTGCAGCATTAGGAAGGTTGAGAACCACTGCTCTAAGGGATCAGAGGAAACAGTCCCTGGCATTCACATGGGGAACAGCGTCTGGTGGTAGAAGCCAGACTGGAGATTTCTTCTAATTACAGAGTATTGGGGGTGGAGCTATATCTGTAATGCCACGAAATCAAAAATAACTGTCTACTTCAAATTCTACAGTCAGCAAAAATACACTTCAATAACAATGGCAAGACAACGTACAGAATGAGAGAAAATACTTAGAAGTCATACATATCTGATAAGGGTTTCACATCCAGAATATAGAAAGAACTACAACTGAAGAGCAAAAAGACAAATGGTCCAATTTAAAAATGGGCAAAGGACGGGCCGGCCGAGTGGCGCGATGGTTAAGAACTTGCTTGGGATGCCAGAGGGCCCCGGTTCGGATCCCACATATGAGGGCCAGTAACACTGCCCTCCACAGCTAAGATGCTGAACAACAGCTCAACCTGGAGCTGGGCTGCCTATGAGTCACCGGCGACGGCGTGGGCTACAGTCCCTGTGGCAGTGGATTGCCATGGGCTACCGTGTGTGGCCAGCAGCCAGCGTGAGCGGCCAGCAGCCAGCGTGAGCGGCCAGCAGCCGCAGTGAGCGGCCGTCCAGAAGCCAGCGACTGATCTGCCTCATCAGAGAAGAGCGCAATGATGGTGCCAACTTGGGCAGTGAAGCAACATCCTCCACAACTAGGTTGAAGAACAAAACGACAGCAACTTGTCTGTTCCCCTTTCCCCAATTCCCCAGCACTGTTCCCATCCCCCCAATTCCCCAATAAAAAATTTTTTAAAAATCTAAAAAAATAAAAAATAAAAATGGGCAAAGGACTTGAACAGACATTTCTCCAAGGAAGATATGCAAATAGCCAATAAACACATGAAAATAATGCAAACGAAAACCACCAGGAGATGTCGCTTAACACCTACTGGGATTGCTATAACATTTTAAAAAATGGAATACTATGTATTGGCAAACTTGTGGGAAAATCGGAACCCCTGTGTATTGCTCATGTGAATGTAAAACGGTGCATCTGCTACTGAAAAGTGTCGTGGGACCTCCAACCTAAAAATTACCAAAATTTTTTTTTTGTGCTAAATAAAAAATTACCACATGACATAGCAATTCCACTCCGAGGTAATTGCCCAAAGGAACTAAAAGCAGGGACTCGAGCAGGTGCTTGTCTGCCAGTGTTCCGAGCAGCATTTTTCACTACAGCCATAGGAGGAGACAACCCCAGTGTCCATCAGCAGGGAGGTGGATGAACAAAAGGAGGTTCATCCATACAGTGGAGTGTTATTTAGCTGTTAAGAGGAATGAGGTTCTGACGCATGTGACAACACGGATGGACCTTGAAAACATGCTAGGTGAGTGAGATAAGCCAGATACAAGAGCACAAATATTGTGTGATTCCACTTACGTGGTATTTGTTGACCAGGCAGGTTCATAGAAGCAAAGTAGATGGGGGCTTAGTCAAGGTCGGGGTGTGTGTGTGTGGGGGTGCAAAATAGGGGGTTACTGCTTAATGTGTAGAGTTTCTGTTTGGGGTGAGGGAAAGGTCTGGGATTAGTAGTGATGGTTGTGATTAATGCCACAGAATTGTATACTTAGCAGTGGTTAATATGGCAGATTTTGTTATATATATTTTACCATAGTTTTAAAGGTTATTAATGTAGTATGCCAGAAACCACTGAACGTGCACACTTTGCGTGGGTGAACTGTATGGTATGTGAGTTATATCTGGATAAAGCTGTTGGAAAAAAAATGCAAAACAAAGACATCGTCAGACATACAAAAGCGGAGAGAACTTATTACCAGCAGACACACATCACAGGAAATGTTCAGAGATGCCCTTCAGGAAGAAAGGAGATGAAATCAGCATCTATCTGGGTGACAGGCATGGGCGCTGCTAGCTGCGTAGTAAGGCGTATGTTTTTTTCCTTAATGTTAAATACTTTTCGAAGGTAACGGGCCGTGTATTAATTTCCTATTGCCGTGTGACGAATTTCCACAGATTCAGCGGCTTCACAGCACCCACTTACCACTCACAGTTCTGTAAGTGGGAGTCCGATGCAGTGTGGCTGGGTTTCCTGCTCAGATGTCCAGCAGCTGATGCCAGGGGTCGCCTGGCCCGCGATCTCGCCTGGAGGCTCTGAGGGCAGCCCACTTCCACGCCCACTGATTGTGATAGAATCAGTTGTTTGTGGCTGTATGACTGAGGTTCCTGTTTCTTTGCTGGCTGTCAGTGGCCGCTACACTGGGCTCCGTGGCTGCTCCTGTTTCTGCCACGTGGCACCTTCCATTTTCAGGCCAGTGGCAACCCATTACGTGTTTCTCGTGCTTCTGATCTCTGAGTTCCCTTCTGTTACCAGCTGGAAAAAACACTCGTTCTCTTATCTGCAGTGAGAGTGTTAGGTCAGGTCAGGGTTTGTTATTTGTTTGATTTCCTCCAAAAAGAGGATTTGTGGTAGGAGAACAGTTTGCTTCCCAATGAAATTTTAAATGGAACTCCGGGGGTTCAGGCAAAAAGGCAGTCTACACAGCCCTGTTCTTCCTACTCCCAGGAATTTCGGGCACTGTGGCTGCATTTCTGGAATGTCTCATGTCCCTCTGTGTGGCGGTTTCTGCGTTACACCTGCTGGTATGAGGGAGTCTAGGTGAGGATTTGTGGAACCTTCCAGTCACAGCAAACCTTCCTCGTGTTTTTTTCTTTTCCCAGCCTCTCCTCCTCGGGACCTCGCGTTACACAAGCATCACCAGGAACGAGGAAGGCATGGAAGCCAAGTCGCCAACTGCCCGGTCCCAGGTAAGTTGGGCTGCCTCCTTTCTTCTTTTCCACCTGGGAACCCCTTTTTGCCTAAGTTCTGAAGTGCCTTTGCCTGGGAACTTGAGAGATCTCAGACACTGTCCTCCAGGAGCCCAGCATCCTGTGGTGTGCGCTATCTGTAGTGATAGTTGATTTCCTGTCATAGCAAAGGGAAGGTTTATCAGAAATGCCGGCTGAGCCAAGTGAGGTTCTACCGAGGAATGAAACACAGAGGAACTGAACCCACAAGCAAGCTTGCTCCCCAAAGATGAAAGATCTGAGAATGGAGTGTTTGTCGAGGGGTCCTCTGGTCCCTGGTTGTCCTGGGTGTGGTTCTGGCTGTGTTAGCTCCTCCCTGGGCAGTGCCTGTTTGGGGGAACTTGGGGACAAGCTGTGAAATTATCAAAGGGTAACTGCACCCAAGGCCGGAAGAGCTTGGGGGTGGACTCTGTGGGAGCAGCCTGACCCGGGAGCCTCAGGACGGACACTGGGCCCCTCACATGTTGTCTGACGTATGTTGGAAACCCACCAGAAGGTGATGTCGGTTTTGCTCTGGACCGTCCTGCCTAGTTTGAAGGATTCAGGAGAAGAAAACTAGTTTATTACGTCCCCCCAGATTTGTACCATGTTCGTTGCTTGCCCCTCATTCCTGAAAGTTTGTTTCTCTCTGGTATCATTTCCCTTCTGCCTGAAGGACCACCTCTACCATGTCTTTCAGAGCAGGTCTGCTGGTGAAATTTTCCATTAGCTCTGCATTTGGGAATGTTATTTCGCATCACTTCTGACAGATATTTTCCCTGGACATAGAAATTCTGGTTTGACGGTTGTTTCCTTTCAGCACTTAAAATACACTATTGCCCTGCCCTCCAAGCTTCCTGGCCTCTGATGAGAACCCCTCGGCCACTAGCATAGGCAATTCTCCTGTGTGGCTATGGCTTCTTTTGTGTACGGCTCATAAAGCCTTGCCTGTGTGTCTTGTGTCTTCATCAGATTGTTTTGCTGTTTATGGAAATGTAATCTCCTTCTTAGTTTTATGCCTATAAATGTTTAGGGAAAATGTTTTGGATAATTATTTTTGGTCGTAAAACATGGCTAGGTTGGTCTCTCAAGCATCAGGCTGCGCTGAACTCAAGACCATTTCCCTCTTTTTCTGCCTTGAATTAGGTTCTGTATTTCACATAATATAAACGTAGATTAACTAACTCCTGGTGTCCAGCTCCCCTTGCTTTAACTGTTTACAGCAAACTTGATTGAAATAAAAGTGCTTCTGACAGATCCTAAAGGGAAAGCACAATAGAACTGGCTTGCGGACAGTAGGTGCCTAAGAGCCATGTGTGTCAGGACCCGCCCAGAAGCCAACATAACTACTCCTGATGCCTACCACAGGCTCTGCCCCACCCGGTCCATGCCCCAGTGCTGTCTGGCCCCTCTCTCTGTGAAAGGGAGGCAACGACACCATCCGCTCAGTACAGATTTGCCCTGTGCTGTTTAGACACTGGTGACCTTCACGGATGTACTTGTGAGCTTCACCAGGGAGGAGTGGCAGCTCCTGGAGCCTTCCCAGCAGGGTCTGTACAAGGACGTGACGCTGGAGAACTACAAGAACCTGGTTTCCTTGGGTAAGTCTCACCTCTGTGTTGGGGAAGCTCTCCCTGCGATGACTTTGGTCCTTCACTGATCAAAAGGTGTGGAGGCCCTGAAGCAGATATCAGAGCGAGCCGGGGTTCAGGGACCTTATTTCTTTGGGGCATAGGGTTTTTGTACTCCTGCTATTTTGAAAAAAAAAATTGTTTTCATTTGTTGAATTTTTTTAAGTGTCTATTTTGCTGCTTCTGTAGCCTCACCTTGTCTGCTCTTCAGAGTCCCCCCGGGACTGTGAAGGGTTTGGGCATTCAGGTTAAACCTGGGATGCTTTGTACCCACCCCAGAGCCCCCCCACCCTTGCCCACCTCTGTGTCTTTCCTTGTGAACAGGTCATCAGCTTGCCAAGCCAGATGTGATCCTACAGTTGGAGAAAGGGGACGAGCCATGGCTGGTGGACAGAGGGAGTCCCCAAAATGCCCACCCAGGTGAGGACCAGATGAGAAGCGTTACAGGCAGGAGCCCAGGTGACCCGTTAGGTTGGCGACAGTGGTCACTGGTTCTCGTTTCTAACAAGACGTCCTCTCTGCTTCCCCGTTGCTGGTCTTCTTTCTGCAGCCTCGTCACACTTCCCATTTGCCTCAGAGACAAAAATGTCTTCTTCATTAAAATCATCGTTCTCTTGTTGCGCTTGTTACCACCAGCTCTAGCATCCCCATCCTCGCATTTCCACATAATCCTTTTTCCATCTTTGCCTGTCTCCCCACTTTCATGTGGCCCGTTACCACAGCCGTGGGACCCCATCGCCAACCACTGTCCTGTGTGTCCTCTGTTGGTTAGAAAACCTGACAGATGCTCGCCATTCCCGAGAAGAATCTCTGCTCTCAAACACCTGCGTTCTCACTGCACCCTCGCTCTTTATTTAGTGTTTATGTATTTACCCTATTTTATTTTAATCTTAACATCTAAAATGCAGATCATTCTGTGGATTACTAACGTCGCTTCTTTCCCCAGCTTCCCCGTGTGTAGAAAAGTAGAAGGTGACCTCCCATTTTCCTCCCCCTGTGTCCTCTGTAAGCGACCTTCCCCCCAAGCTCAGTACTCAGACATTTTCTCCTCTGCCCTCTTGGGTATCACCGAGTCACGCTGCAAATAGCCCACTGCGCACTGGACTCTTGCCAGTAACTGCGCGTAGTGTGTTTCCCCCAAAATAAGACCTAGCCGGAGGGCCGGCCGAGTGGCTCAGTTGGTTAAGAGCGTGAGTTCTGAGCAACAGGGCCGCCAGTTCAATTCCCACATGGGCTAGTGAGCTGTGCCCGAGCTGAGCTGCAATGTATGTTCTTTGGGGGACACAGTTCAGCGCATACACCAGGTAAGTAAGTGTGCAGTATTACCCCACTTATGGAGGAAGAGGTGGTATTGTGTAAGTAGTGTTTTATTTCTAGGTTCGGAACCAAACATTTACCTGAAAGGCTTGGAAAATCAAACCTAGGCTCTTAACCAGGGGAAATAATCAGCAGTAATATAAATGGTTATAAGCAGGTAGGCAAAACACCCTGTGGTGTTAGTCCCATTAGTTGTTAAGTCCGGATGTCTCAGAACAATGGAATCAGAAGACAGGAATAATGATTCTGTTGATTATTATAGATGGTATTGCTTTGACCATGGACTACAGAAAAGCAAAATGATTTTTGAAAAGCTAGCAAGTTGTCTAAATTCACCACTAGTAGTGGTGAAGCTTAGGTTGGAGCCTGTACCTGCGTGACTTCTGTGTGGTTGCTTTTCCAGCCTATGACATGGCCTTTCTGAGAGGTTGGTTGTGTTAGCCATCTGGGCATTCTGAGTGCTTTGGTGATGTAGATAAAAGGCATTGCCTGACAAAACTGCACTCATGGTTTAGGGTATTAAATTGGCTGTGGTGTGAGGCATCCATGTGGGGGGAGATCCTGGTGACAAGTAGACACGTTAGGTTCTTACATCATTAATGGTTAGATCATGGGAGTGTGGCCTTTTCTGTGGATTTCCTTTGTTGGCACCCCGACTGCTGCATATGCCAATCCCATGTGTCATACCCAGTCCATGGTATCTCCTTACTCTCACTCTGCTCCTTGTCTGTACCACGTTGCCTGGCACACTTTGTTAACTACTGTATTCTTCATTCTATCAAGGTTACGGAACCATATCAAAGCAACTCTACGTGGCTTACATACCTTGTCTCCACATACATCTCACCATTCTCACGGTAATACTCTTTTCGTTATGCAAAGCTTTTTCATTTCTTTCAGATTGGGATACTGGAGTTGGAATCAAATCATTAATTTCCAGTAAGAGCATTTCTAAAGATAGACGGTCCTATGACATTAAAATGGAAGGAATGGCAAAGAATGATCTCTGGTATTTGTCATTAGAAGAAGTCTGGAAATGTGAAGACCAGTTGGACAAGTATCAGGAAAACCAGGAGAGACATTTGAGGCAAGTGGCATTCACCCAAAAGAAAACACTTACTCAGCAGAGAGTTGGTGAAAATGGTAAATATGGGGGAGCCTGTCTTCTTCCTGCTCAGCTGGTACTGAGACAGTATTTCCATAAACATGACTCACGTACTAAAAGTTTAAAACATGATTTCGTTTTTAGTGACCATCAGGAAAGATATGCAAATAACAGTAAGGAATGTGGCCAAACCTTTTGTCAGAACATTCACCTTATTCAGTTTGCAAGGACTCAAACAGGAGATGAATCCTACAAATGCCCTGATGATCATAACTCTCTGCCTCATGGCACATCCCTTGGTATATCGAAGGGAATACATAGAGAGAAACCCTATGAATGTAAGGAATGTGGGAAATTCTTCAGCTGGCGCTCTAATCTAACCAGGCACCGCCTTATTCATACTGGAGAAAAACCCTATGAATGTAAAGAATGTGGAAAATCTTTCAGCCGCAGTTCTCACCTCATTGGACATCAAAAGACTCACACTGGGGAGGAACCCTATGAGTGTAAAGAATGTGGAAAATCGTTCAGCTGGTTCTCTCACCTCGTCACCCATCAGAGGACTCATACGGGGGACAAACTGTACACATGTAATCAGTGTGGCAAATCTTTTGTTCATAGCTCCAGGCTTATTAGGCACCAGAGAACTCACACTGGAGAGAAGCCTTACGAATGTCCTGAGTGTGGAAAATCCTTCAGACAGAGCACACACCTCATTCTACACCAGAGAACTCACGTGCGAGTGAGGCCCTATGAGTGTAACGAATGTGGGAAGTCTTACAGCCAGAGATCTCACCTGGTTGTGCACCACAGAACTCACACTGGACAGAAACCCTTCGAGTGTAAAGACTGTGGAAAATGCTTTAGTCGAAGCTCTCACCTTTTCTCACATCAGAGGACCCATACTGGGGAGAAACCATATGAATGCCATGATTGTGGGAAAGCCTTTAGCCAGAGTTCTGCCCTTATTGTGCATCAGAGAATTCATACTGGAGAGAAGCCATATGAATGCTGTGAGTGTGGGAGAGCATTCATCCGGAAGAACGACCTCATTAAGCACCAGAGGGTTCACGCTGGGGAAGAGACCTATAGATGTGACCAGTGTGGAATTACCTTCAGCCAGACCTCTCCATTTGTAGTCCATCAGATAGCGCACACTGGGGAGCAGTTCTTAACTTGTAATCAGTGTGGGGCAGCGCTTGTTAGTAGCCCTAACCTTATCAGATACCAGACAAGTAACATCAGAGAAAAAACTTACTAATGTAATGAATGTGGAAAACTTCACACAGAACCGTGACCGTATTTTGCATCGGGCAGCTCCTGCAGAGACACTGTATAGATGTAATCTTCATGGACGTGCTTTTAGTCTCATCACTACCCTTTTCCGTACTACAGAATTGGTCCTGGAGTGGGGGGAAAACTCAGATTTCACATTAGTACAAAAATACATATTTTTTTCTTTCCACAAACTTCTACAAAAGTAATTGGCCTGGGAGCATTCTTGAGCAAACCTTAAATGCTAAAACCCAAGAAGGAACCATTAAGTAGTTGAGTTGTTGAGAGATGTCCAGCTTAGGTACTTTCTTCAAAAAAATTAATGAGTAGTTGATTGGAAGAATAGAAAATATCATTATTGTAACAAAAGATGGAAAATAATATTCCAGTGAATTAACATGCCACTTTTCACTTGATCGTCCTCCTCTTCTTGGACACTTACTAGTGTTTAGTGTGTTTTATGTGTCTGATAATAACCACATATTGTTTAGCCGGGGAAATGCTTATAATGGAAAACAGAATGAGAAACGCATTTACTAGTAGTACCCATTTTAAAATGTATCTGCATGTAGGCAAGAATTGGAAAAGTATTTATAGATAAATAAATAGATACTGGGATTAGGAGTGAGCTTTATAGTTTATTCAGTGTAACTAATAATTTTGGAAGACATTTTTAAGTATTAAAAAAGGATATCTAGTTTCTCTATTCCACCATCAAGGAAGCTTGAGAACCACCCACTAGCAAACTTTCACATTAATTCTAAGCTGTTTGGGTCATGGAGTTGTGCTCCATCAGACTGGGTGCTAAAGTCTCCTGGGAATTTAAAAACAGTGATTCTCTGGACGTTGGAACCTAGGGGAGCTCTGGGTATTTGAACACGCCTGGGAGGGTCTCCATTTCAGCAGGAGCAGGCACCTGGGTAATACTTAGAGCTTGTATGCTCATGTGATAAACACAGCACTACCCACAGGCACCCTCCTTCCAAGATGTCTTCTTTGTAAAGAAGACAGTGGTTAAGAGCATAAGCTTGAGCTAGACTACCCTAGTTGAAATCCAACCTCTGTCCTAAACATTTGGGGTGAACTTGGGCATGTTACCTAACTTAGAGATACCCTCTTCTGTAAATTAGGAATAATATTACCTCTTAGGATTGTGGTGAGAATTACATGAGCAAACATATAAACCCCTTAGAAGAGTGTCTGCCATACTAAGTGCTTTATAATTATTAGCTGTGATTACTAGTATTACTGTCATTGCCCCATGCCAGTGTCTGTTCATTTCAACCTCGTTTGGTAATTAGAAGTTCTTGAGTTCTCAATTCCCTTCCAGTCATACATGTTTTTCCCTTTTACATACATCAGCACTTATCAGCTTTAGGATATCACTGACGCTTAGTGGGTGTATGAATTCATTTCTGAGGATCCAGAAACAAATTTTAATATTGTTTTCATAGAGATTTTCCCTTCTGGGGAGAGGATCCTAATCTTCAGATTCTCTGGCTAATCCATGTCCATAAAAAGATTTAGGAAGAGAATCTGTTTTAATTCTCTGGTTGGTTCTATAAATGGTTCTCCTGTGTGTTGAATGATAAATATTGCCAAGACCAACAGGACAAATATCTTGATGTTTCTTCCAGAAAAAATCTAGAAGTGATTATTAGACTCACAAGACCTCAGAACTAACTACAACGAACATGAGACCATCCAACTCGTACTTTTCATTGTACAGTTGAGACACTGAGTTGGCTCAGGGCTCACACTGTGAGTGACTCAGACCCAGGACTTGATTGCGGTCCCTCAGTCACTGCTGCTGTCTTCAGCGCTTCCATACCTTTCACATGTGTACAGACATCTACAGAACTAGTTTTCATCGAAAGCACTGGTTCCGATGGGAGAGGAAGAGGAACCCCTGAACTTGGCCCCTGATAATTTCTGATAACCTGTGGCTCAACTTCCCTCAACTGTGTAATGGAGATGCTACTAGTACCTACCTCAGAGAGTTGTGTGGAATAGGAGACGATGTGTGTAATGTGCTACAACAGTGCCTGGGACGTAGTGAGTACTGTATGTGTTAGCTATTAATCGTAATGACACTACTATTACCAACATCATAAAGAATGTAGGAAGACATATGTGTCTATGGATGATCACTGAAACATCACTTATGACAGTGCAACATTTGCAATATAAAAAACTATAATAGCAAAGTGGTTATTTATAGTATATCCATGTAATATGCAGGCATTAAAATTACACAAAGTTTCATAACAGGAAAAATGTTGATGCAGGCATGTTATGAAAAAGCATGATAAATAATTGTCAGTATGGAATAAGTTCAAATATGTAAAAATAAATGGATTGTAAAAAGTGAAATGAATCGATCAAACTGAGGAAATTTTGTCAGATTGATAATTAGCCTACATATTGGAATTAGCCCTCACATTTTTTTTTTTTTTTTTACTTTTCTGTTCTTTCCCAAGTCTGTTAAAAAAAACACACATATACATATTACTTTTAGGGTCAGGAAAAATCTCGTGAGTGACAGAATATTTTCTCTTCGAAAGTTCTTATCTGTAAATAAGCTACTAGAACCTTAATAAAAGAACTTGGCAAAGCCACAGTACAAGATCAGTAATTGATTTCATCTCTATATAGCAGTGAGCAGTTTGGAAATGAAGTAAGAAGTACAGCCCCGTTTACAATGACAGCAAAATGTGAAACACTTAGATAAATGTAATGAAAAGCATAAAACATTGCTGAAATTCAAGAACACATAAAGAATACATAATAAATACATAATAAAGGGAGAAATACACCATGGTCAAGGATGGGAAACTCAATATTGTTAAGATAGCAATTCTTCCAAATTATTTTTTAGGTTCAGAGGCACCTGTGTGAAAATTGACAAGGTAATCCAAAATTAATATGGAAATTTAAAAGACCTAAGATAACCAAAACATTTTTTTTTTTTAGCTGAGCCATCCCGCCACCTGTTGGCAGCTCCGCGGCTGCTCAGCTCGGGCTGACTCGAACCACTGTTGCTCAGAGCTCAAACTCTTGAGTGAGCTCTTAACCAACTGAGCCACTCAGCCGGCCCTGCATTTTTTTTTTAAAGAACAATGTTGGGGGGCTTACCCAACCCATCTCAAAGTTTGCTGTAGGAGTACACTAATGAAATGTTGGCACAAGGAAAGATATAGATCAATAAAACAGTCCACAAATTGACCTACACATACACTGTCAAATTTTGACACAAGTGCCAAAATAACTCAATGTGGAAATGATAGTCTTTTAAGCTAATGGTGGTGTAACAACTGGATAATTGTGTGTGGGGAAAAGTGTCCCCTTAACATGACATTAGATACAAATAACTCAAAGTGCATCACAACCTAAATGTAGGGCCAGCCAAGTGGCTCAGTTGGCTAAGAGCTTGCTCAAGAGTGCGAGCTCTGAGCAACAGCGGTTTGAGTCCCGCCCAAGCTGAACTGCCAGTGAGCTGCCAAAAGGTGGCACGATGGCTCAGCTAACAAAAAAAAGAAAAGAAAAGAAAGAAAAAACCTAAATGTAAAAGCTAAAACTTTAGGGCCGACTGAGTGGCACGTTGTTAGGAGTTGGCTTGGGACACCAGCTCTGAGCAGCAGGGCACCAGTTAAGATCCCACATGAGAGCCAGTGACACTGTGTCCTCTACAGCTAAGATGGTGAACAACAGCTCGACCTGGAGCTGGGCTGCCTTGAGTCGCCGGCGACGGCGTAGGCTGCAGTGGGGCTGGTGTGGATTCCTGTAAGCTACTGTGAGTGGCCAGCAGCTGCCGTGAGCTGCTGTGAGCCGCCGTGAGTGGCTGTCCAATGGCCAGTGAGCCACTGCCTCACCTGGGAAGAGTTCAATGATAATACCAACATAGGCGAGTGAAGTGACGTCCTCCACAACTAGACTGAAGAACAAAAGGACAGCAACTTGTCTGTTCCCCTTCCCCAATTCTCCAACGCTGTTGCCCTCCCCCAATTCCCCAATAAATTTTTTTTTTAAAAAAGCTAAAAGTTTACAATATGTAGGAGAAAATGTTTATGGCCCTGATCTAGGAAAAGATTTCTTATAGCACAAAAAGTAAGAATCATAAAATAAAAATGATTTATTAGACTTCTTTAAAAATTAAAAAACTCCAGCTCTTTTGTAAACACGACTGAGTACATAAAAAGGCAAGTCGTAGAATAGTGTATATTTACAATACATTTATCTGACAAAGACACGAATCCAGAATACAAACAACTCTTATAAGTTAGATAGTAAGACAAACCAGTAAAATTAAATAGTTTACCAGATGCTTCACTGAAAAGAATATATATTCCATGTCCATTAAACCCATGTAAAGAGGCTCAACATTCATTAGTCATTAAGGAAGTGCAAATGACAACTACAAGAAGATAGTACTTCACATCCAGTAGCACAACTAAGATAAAAAATGTAATCACTGATGAGGATTGAGAGGTCAGAAACCTCATACATTGCTGGTGGGATTATAAAATAGTGCAACCTCTATGGAAAACAGTTTGGCATGTTTTTAAAATGCTAAACATAACAGTTACCATATGACATCAATTCCATTCCTTGAATTGAAAACCTATGTCCATGTAAAGAACAGATGTGATGTATAATAACTCACAACATGTGAATGGATAAACAAATTGGGGTATAGCCTTATAATGGAATACTACTCAGCAATGAAATTTAACAAATGAATGATATACCAAACTGCATAGTTAAATCTCCAAAACATTCCAAGGAAAAGTCAGACACAAAAGACTACACAACATGATTCCCATACACACAATTTAAAGAAAAAAGATTTTATTGGGGAAGGGGACCAGCCGAGTTCTTCAATCGTTGTCATGGGGAACAGACAAGTTGCTGTCCTTTGGTTCTTTAGTCTAGTTATGGAGGACGTTGCTTCACTGGCCCATCTTGGTATTATCATTGTGCTTTTACCGGGTGAGGCAGTTGCTTGCTGGCCATTGGATGGCCGCCCACGGCGGCTTATGGGCAGTTCACGAAAGCTCACGCCAGCCCCACTGCAGCCTACACCATCACCAGCGACTCAAGGCAGCCCAGCTCCAAGTCAAGCTGTCATTCACCGTCTTAGTTGTAGAGGGCTCAGCGTCACTGGCCCTCATGTGGCATCCGAACCGGGGCCCCACTGCCCAGAGCTGGCGTCGCAAGCCAACACCTAACCAACGTGCCACCTGGCCGGCCCCAAAGTATCTTCTTAACGTTCATTCATTAAGCCGACACTGATGAAGTCTGTGGAACTGGCTTTCCTGTTACATGGCAAGAAGTGAAAAAAATTTTGATCGGGGTAACTTTGTCCTAAGCTAAGTTGCTTATGACTGACTATGTTATTAGTGTCTCAGCAGCTGTACAGGAATTGGGTGATAACAGTAAAAGTAACGGTGTGTATAAACAGCTATTGGTTGCGGTTGGCAAGATACTTCAAGAATGAGATGAATTTAAGAGACGGATAGCAAGTGAATAGAGATTTCACAGATTTGGGGCTTCAAACCATTCGAAAAGCCACCTGCTTTTGACTCCATCCATTAGGAATTACATTTTAGATATTTTTAGTGAGAAAGCTCCCTCGTGACAAAGCCCTATGGAAAAGGATTAGATTTAGGGTGTATCACCTTACAAATGAATTCTATCTTGACTGCCTGTTATGCATTGAAGTGTGTCCTCCCCAAATTCATGCTTTGAAGTTATACCCCCCAGTACCAGAATGTGGCGTTTTTTGGACAAAGGGTCTTTACAGAGGTAATCAAGTTAAAGTGCAGTCATTAGAGAGATCTCCAATCCAATATCGCTGTTGTGCTTATTTAAAAAAGGGGGGGGGAACTTTGGACACAGACACACATAGAGTAAAGAGGATGTGAAGACACAGAAGACAGGTGTACAAGTCAAGGAGACAGTCCTATAACACATCCTTCGCTCACAGCCTCAGAAGGAACTGATGCTATCGACACCTTGATTTTGGGCATGTAGCCTCCAGAACTGTCAGACAATAAATTTGTTTTTTAAGCCCACACTCTGTAGTAGTTGTTATAGCCATCTTAGGAAAGTAAGACACGGCTCTATATAAAATTTCAGCCACCCCAATAGCACTGCCAATCCCCTTCATGGTGTTATTTTTATTTTTTCCATAATGTCACCTTAAAAAATCAATATATCATTTATTATGTGTTCCCATGTGTCAATGAATTCATCACAAGGAATCTTAATTTTAGTTACTGATATATCTTCTGTGCCTAATATCATGTCTGGCTCATACTCGGCATTCTACAAATATTTGCAAATTGTTGAATGAATTGATGAAGAAATCAACATTCATCCAGTGAATCTGGAAAGGGGAGGTGTCATAAATTTATTGCCAGCCAATAAGTAAACTATATAGTGATCTTGTAGCAAAGAGGAAGGGGAGAGGGTAGTTATTGCATAATGAAGACACAGTGCTTGGCGCATGGAGATACAGTCTAACAGATAAACCACTATATATATATATATATATATATATATATATATATAAAGGGTGGTACATGTGGAGGTGGGTGATCAAAGTCTAAAATGCCCATGCAAGACCAAGGGAGGGAGTGCCAACCGAGTGATGCAATGGTTAGGAGTTGGCTTGGGATGCCAGCTCTGAGCAGCAGGGCCCAGGTTCAGATCCCACATTAGGGCCAGTGACGCTGCGCCCTCTAAGATGCTAAGATGGTGAACAACAGCTCGACCTGGAGCTGGGCTGCCGTGAGTCCCCGGCAACGGCATAGGCTGCAGTGAAACTGCAGTGGGTTGCCATGGGCTACCGTGAGTGGCTGGCAGCCAGCGTAAGCGGCCAGCAGCTGGTGTGAGCTGCCAAGAGCCGCCGTGAGCGGCCGTTCAAGGCCAGGCGAACAATCTGCCTCACCCGGGAAGAGCGCAATGACAATACCAACATGGGCCAGTGAAGCGACGTCCTCCACAACTAGACTGAAGAACAAAAGGACAGCAACTTGTCTGTTCCCCTTCCCCAATTCCCCAACACTGTTCCCCTTCCCCAATTCCCCAATAAAATCTTTTAAAAAAAAGATCAAAGGAGAGTAACCGAGACCCTTGTGAAGAACAGTAACAAGGGCTTTGATCTGCTGCTTGTCAGGCTCCCAGTGATGCTGTGAGAACCAGACAGTGACGTCTCGGCATCGTGTTATTGCCAGGAGCTGGAAACAATAGGCCACAGTCCACATCCAGCTGCTGTCCACTGTATTTACCCCAGTATCTTAGTATTAATCATTTCACACATACAGAAAGGTTGAAAGAATTTTACAGTTATCACTTTAATCCCAAATTTAAGACATTGTTTGTTGAATTTGCACTGATGGTGCAAAAGTAATCGTCGGTAAAACTATTGGCACACATCGTGCATCAAGGAAATGGTACCAGAGTATATTCGAGCTGTTTTATTCTTCATCACCACATTCACAGTTTAAAAAATGTGACACAATGTCCTTAATGGAGCCTTAAAAATCTCAACTCTTGAATACCTATGTTGCAATATCTGTGCAACAAACATTCTGTGATTTATACTTAAGTTCCATTGTTGTCTCCAGAAAAAGCACTTGTGTGATCATTTGATTTGGGTGCTGAACTTTGCATGACAGAAAGTTAATGCAAAACAAATGACAGCATTTCTTTGCAATATAAGATTAGGCTTCAAATGAAAAACAGAATTTTGGAAAACTTGTATCTGCCACTGTGAATGTCACAGTTTCCCAGTACTTAAGACTAATGATGATATTGACATATTGTAAAATGAAATGTGTCAACATTTGGAAGATCTTCATACAAGGTTTAACGATTAAGTTCATGAACTCATCCTAGAAAAAGTGCTACATACCTCATTGCTGAATATCACTATGGTGACCTTTGAAGGACTCCCCTTGAGAAGCTGTGCACTGATGCCAGCGCCTAGTCCACCATTCAAAGCAATTTTGAAACTCTTTTTCTGGAATGGTCATCAGAGCTGTTGTATTACCCTTGATGTCCTGAATGTCATCAAAATGTCTTCCTTTCAATATTTCCTTTATCTTCAGGTAAAGAAGTAATTGGGGGCCAGATCAGGTGAGTAGGGAGGGTGTTCCAACAGTTATTTGTTTACTGGCTAAAAACTCCCTCACAGACAGTGTTGTGTGAGCTAGTGCATTGTCATGGTGCAAGAGCCATGAATTGCTGGCGAGAAGTTCAGGTCGTCTAACTTTTTCACACAGCCTTTTCAGCACTTCAAAATAGTCAACTTGGTTAAGTGTTTGTACAGTTGGTACAAATTCATAATGAATAATCCCTCTGATACCGAAAAAGGTTAGCAACATTCTTGCAACAAGTTCGTGAACCTCATGTCACTGAACCCATAATTTTCCAAATAACCAGTGAAACATGTTACAAAATCATGCATGAAAAACTATTTAAAGTGCAAGATAGACCAGTGGATTTTCATGTAATACAGAAAAAAAAATTAAATTTACTTGTGTAAAAAAAATAAAGACCTCACCCAAGACTGGAATGGGGAAGGTCTGTAGCGGGAGCTCTCACGCTACACCCATAGCAAAGCCCTACAGGAAGAAACCCTGTTGGTTATAACAGCTCCAAACTCTTCTCTATAAAATAATTCCCCCTTTGTGCTGGGGACTTGCAGCACGGCTCTCCATAGCTGCGTGTTCTGGGTGGCAATTCTATCTTTTTCCTCAAATAAACCCTTTTGTTGTTGTTGTTGGAATATATAGCTGACTCTGTTTAGGGTCAATACCCCTATGATTTCAGATTGTACACTGCAACTAAGTCATCCCTTGTTCAACTTATACCATCTAAGAATAATATCCACAATTATCTGATAAGTATATTAAAATACCCTGTTTTTCCCAACTACGTACTTTTGTGTAGCCTGACTTCCTTTGTATACTTCCACGAAGACAACGCCTGCAGACTGAATGCAGAGGCAAATACGAGAATCCAGTTATTTCCTATTAAGCCAGACATTGAAAGCGTTCCCCGGCACCCGCAAAAATGTGTAAAAATTCGATTTCTCGCTAATTTTTCTGGGAAACTCATTCACATAGATCCGTTATTAATGTTCATATGTTGTTATGAATTTTTTAATTATTCGAGTGTATTTTAGGACTTTTACCATTTCCGAGAAGCAGGGACTTGTCACGCCTCTGTGCTATTGCTGTCAATTATATTAATTCTCGCTATTTTTTAAACCCTGCGACGCCAGGGGCTGAAAGACCAGGCCAGGAAAGCCCGGTCCTAGCGGCAGAGCCCCGCCCCGCAGCCCTCGGCTCCACCCCCAGCGGCAGAGACTCCCGCGGAGGCTTCTGGGAATTGTAGTTCTCTGTGCCCTCGGGGGGGGGGGGGAGGCGTGACGCTTTTCCTGTGCGACCCTGGTTCCGTGTCGCCGCCGTGGGTGCCGCCAGGCCCTAAGGTCCCCGCGCTGCATCCGGAGTCCGCTCCCCGTCGCGGTGGCCCGAACTGGAGTGAGCTGTCCTCGTCTTCCTCGAGGACCGTCGCACCGGCGCCCAGGGCGGGCGCCTCAGAGTCGAGACTGAGGACGAAGCCGATCTGGCTGCCGAACCCGGAGGTGAAATGGAGGCAGCCGGTCTCCCCAAACCCGCGCTGCCCGTTCGGGGGTTGAAGGAGCGGGAGGAGCTGAACCCCTTCGTCCTCAAGGCGGTGGGACGGTACAGCACGCTGGCCCCGCACTCCCTCCTGCCTGCCTGGGTGCTGGGGAGGGAGGAGGCGGAAACCCCGGTGTCCTGAGGGAAGGAGGCCGCCGACCCTCCGTGGGGGCAGGAGGGTCCCGCTTGCGCGGGGGTGGGAGAGGCAGGGAGACGCGCCCCTCACGGCTCTCTCTTCCCCAGCGGCCCCCCCACGAGGCCCACGAAGCTGCCTGGGGATGGCCACCAGGGTCCGCACGGCTGCCGTCTGGGTGAGTAGGGGTTTTCTCTCCTTTCTGAAAAGCTGATCTTGAACGCGGACGTGTACATGTTTCCGTGTCTTTCCGGGTGATGGAAATGTAACCCAGGGGGAGATGATGGTTGCAAAACTATCCAAGTATTCAAAATCACTGATGTTAAAAATTTTCGTAAGAGCCTTATTTTTATACTTTTTTTTACTATTTTTTTAAAGATTTTATCGGGGAAGGGGAACAGCCAAGTTGTTGTCCTTCAATCTTAGTTGTGGAGGGCGCAGGTAGCTCAGCTCCAAGTCCAGTTGCCATCTGGCCTCCTGTTGGCAGCTTGAGGCTGCTCAGCTAAGGTGCTGTGTTCAGTCTTAGTTGTGGGTGGGCGTAGCCACGACTCCCGGCAGCCTTGTTGTTAGGAGCACGTGCTCCACCAGCTGAGCCACTTGGCAACCCGTTAGCGGCTCAGCTCAGGCACATCTCGCTGCCCCATGTGGGAATTGAACCTGTGATCCTGTTGCTCAGAGCTCGCGTTCTTAACCAGTTGAGCCACTTGGCCAGCCCCCATAGGAGCCTTATTGAGGTCTAATTTGTAGACCATAAAATGTATCCTTTTAAACTGTGTCATTCAATCATTTTTAGTACAGTAGTTCCCCTTTATAGTGGTCCCCAAGGTTTATTAACTCACAGGTCGTGGAGGGTCCATGGTGTGCCCCAGGCCATGAGGTATGGTCCTGGGTAGAGAGGGAGAGCATGCCATGTGCAGACCTGAGGTTTTGCCGTTATTGGGGTAGATGGTGGGAATACCTTGGGTTTCACAGGTTCCCTCTTCTCTGGGTGACTCAAGCTACCCGGCATCGTATTTTGCCGTGTATAATGCGCACCTACCTTTTTGGCCCAAACTTTCAGGGAAAAATAAAATCTTTCGTTTTAACTTTATAACTCAAATTTGAATTTGTTTACATTTAGGTACTTGTTTTATGTATTATAAAATGCTAAAAGAAATTTAGTATTAATTTTTTAACATTATGGTACAAGAAATTGTATGTAACAAATAATTAAGAAAACACAAGAAAAGATACAAGGTACAAGAAATTTTTTGTATCGGTAACAAATTTACTATATTTACGCATCATAGAAGGCCAAGAACTCTTCAACAAACCTGATTATCTTATTCTGGGATATTATTTTGCATACGGATATCATTATTGATTTCTAGAGTTACACTGTAACTCATAATCATAAGTAAAAGAATTAAAAATATTTGTATTGGGCCAGCCTAGTGGCTCAGTTGCTTAAGAGCACTAGCTCTGAGCAATAGGGTCACCAATATGATTCCCACATGGGCCAGTGAGCTACACCTGAGCTGAGCTGCTGCTGAGCTGCCAACAGGTGGCAGGATGGCTCAGCTGGTGAGAGCACATGCTCCTAACAACAAGGTTGCCGGTTCAACTCCCACATGGGATGGTGGGCAACGCCCACTCACAACTAAGATTGAACATGGCGCCTTAGCTGAGCGGCCTTGAGCTGCCGAAGAGTGGCCAGATGGCGACTGGACTTGGAGCTGAGCTAGCTGCACCCTCTACAACTAAGATTGAAGGACAACAACTTGGCTGTTCCACTTCCCCAATTTCCCGACACTGTTCCCCTTCCCCAATTCCCCAATAAAATCTTTAAAAAAAAAAAAAAGGTTATGTAGATACAAAATTAGTACTTCCCATATATAATGTGCATCCTTATTTTTTCCTCACAAATTTGGGCCAAAAAGTGCACATTATACACCACAAAATATGGTATTTAGGTCAACCATGCCTTTCTTAAAGGGGAAGTTCATGAGTGAGGCAGCCTGGCTGTCTCTGTGGCCCTGTAGCCAGCCAAGTACATTCGAGATGGATGTCTTTGAAGTGGATGCCTCAGCAATCAAAAGCTTAATGGCAAACAGTTATATTACAGTAAAAAAAAGCTAATTGTCAGGCACTTATACTATAAAATTTCATCTTTGTAGTTAATATTTATCAGTCCTTTATTTTTTTTTAAGGCTGAATAACATGCCTTTGTATATATAGCTGGACCACATTTTGTTACTTCCACTGATGGATGTTTGGATTGTTTCCACTTTTTGGCTATTATTTATAATGCTGTCACAAACATTTGGGTACAATGTCATATGCTTTTTTTTTTTTTTAAAGATTTTTATTGGGGAATTTGGGGGATTGGAACAGCGGTGGGGAATTGGGGGAAGGGGAACAGATAAGTTGCTGTCGTTTTGTTCTTCAGTCTAGTTGTGGAGGATGTTGCTTCACTGGCCCAGGTTGGCACCATCATTGCGCTCTTCCCTGGCGAGGCAGGTCAGTCGCCGGCTTCTGGACGGCCGCTCACTGCGGCTGCTGGCCGCTCACGCTGGCTGCTGGCTACATACGGTAGCCCATGGCAACCCACTGCAGCAGGGGCTGCAGCCTATGCCGTCGCCGGCGACTCACGGCAGCCCAGCTCCAGGTTGAGCTGTTGTTCAGCATCTTAGCTGTAGAGGGCAGTGTCACTGGCCCTCATATGTGGGATCCGAACCGGGGCCCTCTGGCGTCCCAAGCGAGTTCTTAACCATCGTGCCACTCGGCCGGCCTGTCATATGCTTTTAATTCTCTTGGCCAGATAGTGAGGAATAGAATTGCTGGGTAATATGAATTCAGGTTATCATTTTGAGGAAATTGCCAAACTGGTTCCAACATTGTTGCTGTATTTTACATCCCTAACAGTAACGTAGAAGAAGGGCTAAAGACCCTTACTCTTGCATCTTTTTGTCACATGCTACGTGTCTTGGTTGTTCACAACAGCTGTAACTGTCATACCCTGCAGTATACATAAAATGGTTTCAAAATTATAATGTATTGCTACTAACAAGGATACTAAGTTGAAGTCCAGTACATCTTGCGGCTCATTTTATCCAGAAAATACACAAATACCGCTTGTTAAGATCTGTTAGGAATGTCTTCTCTTGTTATTTTTGTTTCTAATTTGATACACAAATGTATTTGTTGGCATTTATTTTCAAATTTAGGGATGCCACCCCCCCTTGTATCATGTCAAGTATTGGTTTGTCGGAAAAGTGATGTATTTTTCTGTTTTTCGTTGCAAAAATGTGTCATGCCTTTTCCGACAACCCAATATTTATATGATTCAAAAGCGGAAACCGTATAACTGTATAATTGTATATAATTGTGTATTAGACCAGTCTGCATTCATCCCTTCTGCCCTATTCCGTCTCTCCCACAGAGTAACCATTTTTAGTTTCTAGTCCCTATTTTCAGTGATTCTTTTGGAAATATAAGCACATATGCCCCTGACCTGACTCATTACTAAGCTTTGTCAGGAAGCCTTTTTTCTGCCTCAGTCCTATTTCTAGAGTTCAACATGCCTTGTCTCACATATATATCTTCGATTTTGTTGTTAAAAAATTTTCTGGAATAAGTTTCCTCTGGACACTTCTCTCTTTATCTCATCCTTCCCCTCCTCTTCCCTCTCTGATTATTGCTCAGATCTTCCTGTTCTGAGAAGCCCACAGCACTGGTAGGTTGCTTAGTGACTCTGGGAATGTATTTTTTAGTCACCTGCCATTCTGAGCCTGAGAAGGGTTACTCAAGATTCCACTCAGGGGAGGTGTTCTCCTTTGGGGACGCATGTTTCCTTGTGACTCAGGAGATATGCAGCGTGTGGCCCCTCAGAATCGTCCCACAGTTCCCCCACTTCCTCTGCAGTTGAGTCACATCTCCCTGTATCCTGAGGTTTGTGAGGGAACCCTGTCACCTCGTTTTGTTTGCTTGTTGTAGATGTCTGTGGGCTTTTTCTTTCACTATTCTGGTAGGTCTCTTGTTTTTATTGGGGGTTTTGGGGAGATTAAACAACTACACTGCTACCCTCTTCTCATCCTCCTTTCAATGTTTTAACAACAAAAAGTAACAATCAGGGTCAGCCGGATAGCTCAGTTGGTTAGAGTGCAGTGCTCATAACACTAACATTGCTGCTTCCATCCCCACCGGGGCCACGGAGCTGCACCCTCCATAACTGAATTGAAACAACTACTTGACTTGGAGTTGATGGGTCCTGGAAAAACACACTGTTCCCCAATAAAAATAAAAAAAAGTAACTATCACTAAGGGAGGTTAAGTGATTTTTTTCATGGACATCTAAAGAGTGAGAGAAGGAACTCTAACGGAATCAGATGATTTCATTTAAAATCTATTACTTGTATACATCCCACATAAAACAGAGTGGTTTATTTCTTAGCATCTGGCATCGTCTTCTTATTTTTAGTGTCTTCCCAAATTTGTTTGAATCTCAGGGTGGTCACTGCACTATTGGGATTCCTGGAGCCTTTGCAGAGCCTGGGGAGGACACTTTCATCAAGGTGCTGGGTGTCCTGTTTTCTGTTTGTCTCAGCTCTGCCCCACAGTGGCCCAGACCTCAGTCGGCTGAACGCCCAGCTGGCCTCATGCTTTTGAGTTTCTTAACAAGGGACCAAGGTTGGGGCCCAGAGGATACAGGCTCGCTAAAGTGAGTTTACTCTTGAGTCTACAGGTCCCACCTCTCCAGGAAGGAGACAGCTCGTGCAGGTGGATCAGAAAGCTCCACGATCAAGAATCCATCGTGGGTCAAGGGACCCCTGCCCAGAGGCCTCCCCCGAGGGGGCTCCAGCAAAGGAACAAGAGTCGCAGGAGGAAGCAGGTCCTAGAGTGGCTGTTTAGTTCCCAGGAGCAGCCGAAAACCACCACGTCCCAGGTGAGTTGCTTGTTTATTCCCCTCTGCTTCTCTTTCTTCCTTTTAGTCACTCATTCATTCATTCATTCATTCATTTTGATGGGGATCCTTAGATTGAAGGGTTAGTTAATCACTCATTAGTCCATGGTCTGTTTATCATTATTGGGTTCTGTAAGGGTTCTGTCTTCCTTTATTTGCATATTTCCTGGTTTCCCCTTATTTGATTTCCATTTCCTTTCCACCACCACTCCCCAAAATTATTTTGTTTATATGGATATTCTTTTGTTTAGGTGTTTGTAAAATGTGTATTGTTGTTGCTGTATGTGTAATTTCAATTTATGTTAACGTGTGTGCACCTGTGTATCTTGCTGCATCACTATACTTGGCATTGGATGCTGTTCAGAAGCACCCTGGCTCTTACATTTGCCAGCCTATTGTACCATCACACTGAGCCACCCACCCACCTCACGTCTTTGGGCAATGTTTACTATTGTTAGTCTTTTTAATTTGAGCCATTCTGAGGGTCCTGTGGTGGCATCTCTTTATGGGCTTAGTTTGTACTTCCTGTTGACTAAGTAACATTTGTCATGCTTCTTTGACATTTTGTTACCATTTGTGGATGTTATCTATCTTTTTCTATTGATTTACAATAAATTATTTTTTAATATTCTGGAAGCTGGTTAGACGTGCAGAATCTCAGGCCCCACGTCAACCCTGTTATATCAGATTCTTCATTATAACAGATTCAGTGATCCATGCACATCAAAGTTTAAAACAAACTTGATACCAAATCCATATTCAGATTTTACCTGGGTGCTTCTTTTACCTCCAGTGTTTTGTTACAAAAAGTTTCAAACTCAGGGAGAAGTTTTTATAGTCCACATCTGTATACCCATCACCTAAAATTTACCATTAACATTTTACCATACCTGTGTTTTCACATTATCCATCTTTCCTTCCCTCTATGTATCCATTAACCCATCTTATTTCTGGTGCATTTCTTAATATATTTCAGACATCTCAGCAAGCCTCCCTCTAAATACTTCAGCGTGCGTAGCATTCACTACTGTTCACTATTTATTTACAGCTTTCTTGTTGTTGTTGTTTTGGCTTGCCTTTTCATTCTGTGAATGCTGTCTTTTGATGAACAGATAGTTCTAATTTTAACTTTATTACTCGTGTTTTTTGTGTTCAATTTCAAAATTTTTTTCTTATCTGAAGCTCATGAAGACACTTATATTTTACCTTTCACATTTAGATCTACAGCCCATCTTAAATTAATTTTTGTTTGGTATGAGTAGCAGTGAAGATTTCTTTTTAACTACCTGACTGCCCCTGTGCCGCTGAGGCGATTGATTTTTACCTATTGCTCTGTAGTGGCAGCACCGTCATGTGTCAGGTGCCTAGAGGAGTGTTTCATAGGTCTTTGCTGCTCCGTGGTCCACTTTTCTGTCCCTGTGTCAGCACCACACTTTATAGTAAGTCTTGGTCTCCAGATGCTTCCAGATTTGGTGATTATGAATGCTGTCAACATTTACATATGGGTTTTTGGGTGGAACTTGGTTTTCAAATCAGTTGGATAAATTAACCTAGGAGCTAGGAGCACAGTTGCTGGATTGAATGGTAAGACTGGTTTAGCTTTGCAAAGTGTCCTCCAGGGTGACTGAAATTTTGCATTCTGTCCAGCAGTGACAGTCTATTTCATTGTGGTTTTAAGTTGCATTTGCAGTGCTCCCTTCGACAGCACATATACTAAGTTGCATTTCCATAATGGCTAGTATTACTGAGTATCTTTTCATTTTGTGTTTTATTCTCTGTATATCTTTGCTGAAGTATCTGTTCAGATCTTTCTTGTTTTCTTGTCATTGTTTTTTTAAAGAATTCTTTACCGGGCCGGCTGAGTGGTGCGTTGGTTAAGAGTTGGCTTGGAAAAAAAAAAAAAAAAAAAAAAAAAAAA